GCTTTATTGGAGCCTCTTGGTTGAAGGGAGAGCAGGAAGCGAGGGACCCCGACCAAAGACTGCAGCTGCTTATATAGGAGCTGAGGCAGCGTGCAACTGTCGAGCACCCCTGGCAGCCACCTCAGGCTCCCTGATTGGCCCAGCAAGCTGAAGACACTGAGCATGCTCGAGCTGGTGATTCTGGTTATGACCCTATATGGAGTTGTTTACTCCAGCCCTGCAGGGGCCCAGTGCCATCTTGGAATGGCGGCCACAACTCATGGCTCCCTGCAACTTACCATTTTTATACTTTGAAATATGGTGTCTCACCAAATATAGAGCGCACCAATTCATCTAGGCAAACTAGCTTTAAGGTTCAGCCTGTGATTCGCCTGTCTCCACTATCAGCCTGTGATTCGCCTGTCTCCACTATCCCAGCACTGGGATTACACGTACACACAGAGAAACCTGCCATGTTAGGTAGCTTCTAAGAATCTGAAAACTCAGGTCCTCTAGCTTAAGTGGCAAGCATTTTACCAACAAAGCTCTCTTCCAAGCTCCCAAATTAGATTTTTGAATGTTATTCATATAATGTCATTCATTGATGTTTAAATGCTTTTTTGCTTGTTTGTTGGTTGGTTGGTTGGTTGTTTTTCAAGACAGGTTTTCTCTGTGTAACAGTTCTGACTGTCCTGGAGCTAGCTCTGTAGACCAGGCTGACCTCAAACTCACAGAGATCCTGCTGCCTCTGCCTCCCTCACAAGTGCTGGGATTAAAGGTGTGCACCACCACCACGAGGCTGGTTTAAATGCTTTTTAAAAATATCTGTTCAGTACTATGAATTTAGGAATTCAGGATTTTGGCTCAGTGTATCTAAACATTAAATGTTAGTCACTCATTCCATAGTCCTCCAACTTTAAGAATGTCAATTGTAGTGAATAAGAATGCAATATTTGGCACTTGGTACAGTGTGAAGCAAAAAAAAAACCTGTTACTTCTTAATCAGAATAAAGTAGACTGAAACATCTAACCCTGTTGTGTCCAATGGGCAAATGTCAACCAGATTTACTGTCTTAGTTAGGGTGTCTATTACTGTGAAGAGACACCATGACCATGGCAACTCTTTTTTTTCCCCTCAATTTATGTTTTTATTTAAATTAGAAACATGAATGCTTCACATGTCAATCCCAGCTCCCTCTCCCACCCCTCCTCCCTTGTCCCTCCACCAGCCCCTCCACCCCCCACCCAGTCCCCACATCATTCCCCAGGGAGGGTGAGGCTCTCCTTGGGGGGGATCTCCAAAGTCTGTCATTTCATCCAGGGCAGGACCTGGGTAGGCCCTTCCCCATGTGTCCAGGCTGAGAGAGCATCCCTCCATCTAGAATGGGCTCCCAAAGATCATTCATACACCAGACCATGGCAACTCTTATAAAGGAAAACATTTAATTGTGGAGGCTTACCGTTCTTAAGGTTTCATCCAGTATCAAAGTGTTGGGAAGCATGGTGACATGCAGGCAGGCATGGTGCTGGAGAAGGAGCTGAGAGTTCTACATCTTGATCCACTGGAAACAAGAAGTAAACTGTCACTGGGCATAGCTTGAGCATAGGAGACCTCAATGTCCACCACACCACACATAATGACACACTTCCTCCATCAAGGCCATATCTATTCCAACAATGCCACACCTCCTAATAGTGCCACTGTTCATGGGGGCCATTTTCTTTCAAGCCATCACACTTACAAAGTAAATCAACGGCAGTCTAATTACATTTGAAAACAGCTTTCTCTTGAGCATTTACTTAACTTTTTAAAGATTATTTTATTTTATGTGTCTGAGTGTTTTGCCTACACATATATAAGTATGTGTGCCTGGTGTGCATGGAGATCAGAAGTGGGCATCAGATCCCCTGGAATCACTGTGTGGGGGCTAGGAACTAAACCCAAAGATGGATGCACTTAGAGGATTCACTCATAAAATTGGATTTAATATCATTTTCTTTAAAACAAAAAACTACTACTATTTCATGCAGCTATTGTATTTTTTGGCAGCTATGATCATCTCAGCTTCTTTCTTACTGTGTGTGTGTGTGTGTGTGTGTGTGTGTGTGTGTGTGTGTGTGTCTTACAAGGATGCAAATGTCAGAGGACAAGTCATATGGAGTGGGTCCTGGGTCAACTTCAGATTGTCAGGCTTGGTGGCAAATGTCATTGCTAGCTGAGCCGTTCTTTACTCTCCCATCTTTTGTTGTGAAATATTACTTTAATGATGTAGCGGTTTGCCTGTGTTGCACAATATGTAAAGGTGCATTGCATTTGTTTATGCTGCATTTGTTTAACTATGTAAAGATGTATTGCTGTTTCACATTACCTGCCTAAGGCACCTGGTTGGTCTAATTAAAAAGAAAACTGAATTGCCAATAGCTAGGCATAGAGGGAGGGGTGGGGCTGACAGACAGAGAATAAGTAGGAGGAGAAATCTAAGCTTGGGAGAGAATGAGAGAGTAAGAGACTGAGATACCTGGGGTCAGCCAGCCAGGCAGCTGCCAGCCAGCCAGATACGGAGAAAGCAGGAAAGTAGGACACACAGAATGAAAGAAAGGTAAAAAGCCTCGAAGCAAAACACAGATGAAGAGAAGGAAGAGGCTAAATGAAGTCATAAGAGCTGGTGGGCCAAGTATTCATAACTAATAAGTCTCCTTGTCATGATTTGGGGGCTGGTGGCCCAAGAAAGCCTGCTACAATCTTGGCTTCTTTAATGTTAAACACTCTAATGAAAACTGGAAAATAATAGAAATCTCTAGTCTAGCATCTTCCTGTGTCACCATTTAGACAAGATTCTAAAGAGTGATTTGAAACTGATGGGGCCTGGAATAGATTTTTGGGGGTTTTCAAAAGTATAGAAAGTTCTGTACAAGATGAGAAGAAACAGAGGTCAGCAGTCTTTCTCAGAGGAGAAAAGAAACAGAAACTTAATATTGAGAAAACGAGGACGATGATGAGAATAAAAGCAAAGAAAACGTAAAAAAGGGAACCACTTAAATGGGGAAAAAAGTGCAGAAGGTAAATCATCACACAAAACTACAAATGGAGAAATGGATATTTTTACATTGATTTGTCCATGGTGTGTGTGTGTGTGTGTGTGTGTACACATGTGCGCATGTGTGCGCACACCCATGCCACAGCAACTATGTGAACATCAGAGGACAATTTGCAGGAGTCGGTTCTCTCCTTCTGCCATGTGGGTTCTGGTCTTCACAAGTGTTTTTACTCACTGACTTATCTCACTGGTCCAACCAGGATAATTGTTGGGAAATTGTTAATGGCGTTTTATTTTCTTACCATCTTTTTTATAGAAGGGGTCCTATCAAAACTGTGACGGAGTCTTAGAAAAAGATGTTCCTGTCTTTTCTCCCTCTGGTGCCACACTCAATCTTCAATCAGCTGGTGACTTTCATTTGAAAATAAAATTGCCTTTGATGTTTATCACGGAGTGTTGATTGTGGGAGACTGGTAAGGACATCTAGATTGAAAATCAGTCCAACCGGTGGTGACACAGTCCTGCTTTAACAGCCTAGTCTTAGCTTATCTTCATAGCAGTTATCCTGATCTGGAACACAGTTATTATTATTACTATCTGTCTTCATTCCCATTTTGTATATGGGTACAATAAAAATAGGAACTTTACATTACTAACAGCATTTAGAAAAAAGATGGCCATATACTCGGTGGCTATTTTGAAGTGAAAAATGAATAATATGATACAATGCACTGCTGTGGTTTTCTTGAAGGCTGTCATGAGGTTCATGGAAACTCTGCAGTTCTCTTATAGTTTTTGAAGAATCCTAAGGCTTCCCCAGCTTCACTGGATTTCAGTAAATATGCTTCTCTAACAGATTAACTGTCCTAAATGTGCCTTTGTGATAACATCCTTTCTCCATATAATTACGGACTAGGAAGTTCTATTCAAAGTGTCAGTGTACCTCCATATTTGGTCATATAATTGCCAGCATGGTGGACAGCAACCCACAGACTCACATTTGTGCAGCTTCTGTACTGAAACAAAGCTGCTGGGTTTTTTTTTCTTTTTTCTTTTTTCTTTTTTTGTTTTGTTTTTTGTTTTTCCCCCACTGTGAATGCCTCTTTTCTCTCTCTCATGACATAGACAAATGTTGATGTTTACTACAAGGCAGTACATTAGTTGCTAATTAAGTTCCTAGATGCTTCAGCCAAAACTTGTTGTATTGAATCCAAGAAAAGAATGGCAGCTATGTCAAGAATAAGTTGTTGAGGGTTTTTTTCGTTGTTGTTTTGTTTTATTATAAGAAAGTTGTCTACTAAAGAGTACAGGGAACCTACAAACCTTCAGTCTTGGCTTCCTCCTAAACTGAGTTGGTGGCTAAAGTCAGTCTGCATCTGTCACTAGGCAGGCCCAGATCAAAGCTGTATAAATGCTATACTACCAATCAAAGCACGAGGAAATAAAGCTGTTTAAGTATAAAAAGTCAACTCTACTAAACAGCTTTAAGACCCAGTTCTTGGGGTAACAAATTAGTTCTTGGAACCCCACTGAGTGTAAGGTTTACTGTGCCTGAGTTGCAAAAGTGCCCTCCTGGGGTTCCTTCTTCCAACCATACACACACACACACACACACACACACACACACACACACACACACACACACACACACACACACACACACACACACACACGGGTAACTCAGGTAACTCAAATTTCCAACAGGGATTAGCGCAATTCTTCATTTCTCCTGAGACCTTCCTCGCCCTCTGCAAGCTAACTGGCGAGTGGGGACGGTCTTCCAAGCAGCACACCGCGGGGAAGACCTGCAAATCAAAACATTGCAGAGCTTCACCGGCTTTCTCAGCTCAAGGGAGAGTTCGCTCTCCCTTTCGGTTTCCCACGTTCCCGTGGTGTTCTTAGGCAAAGTTCTCGCCTAATCAGCGGCGTCCACGGGCCGCCTCCCTCCTCATGAAACTAACTCTCTGGTCCGGAAGTTGATGCTAGTGAGTCCGGAGAAGAGAATCAAAACCGAAACCAACCCTGCAACTCCTATGATCCGTGCGTGGGTGGAGGACCGCGCTCAAAGCTCCTGCGAGGGTGAGCAGCACTATTGTAGCCCAGTGCAGTGCGAGTGGTCCGGAGTCTACACCCGCCTGCAAGAGCGTTCCTGGCCCACCTGCCACCTGCCCGGTGCCACCGATCGATCCAGGGTTCGGAGGCCACCTGGCACCAGCTGCTCTCAGGCGGCGTAGGCGGAGACCCACTCCCACCTGTAGATCGTCCGCTCGCCCGGGAGACTCCTCTCCCGTTCCCTGAGAACCAAGGATGTCGACTGTCTGTTCAACAGAGGACAGCTTCCGCTATCTCATCTCCATCTTCAGCAGTAGGTTGAAAAGGTACTTTGAGGTGGAACCGGTGCTGGACTACTTGATCTTTCTGCCCGCAGAAACCAAAGAGCAGGTTCTGAAGAAGGCAGCCACCTGTGGGAACACCAGCGCTGCAGAACTGCTGCTGAGCACTTTGGAGAAGGGGGAGTGGCCGCCCGGCTGGACGCAGATGTTCTTGGAGGCCCTGGAGCACAGTGGCAGCCACCTAGCCGCGCGCTACGTCAGACTCACCGATCTGCCCTCTCCCTCCTCTGAGACCGCCCATGATGAATGCCTCCACCTGCTGAATCTCCTTCAGCCCACTCTGGTGGACAAGCTCCTGATTAACGACGTCTTGGATACTTGCGTGGAGAAGGGACTGTTGACACCTGAGGATAGAAATCGGGTAGGAGTCACTTGAGATGGAGATGGGTTTATGGAAGATTTTTACAAAGCAAGGGTTACTTGTGCATTTCCCCATAGAGAGTGGCCTGACTTCTTTGGGCAGAGCCGCTCCTCTTTTTAGGGTTCTTGTTCAAGGGGGTCCATTTAACAGATGAGAAAAACCATTAGACAGTTAGACAATTTGCAATTGGTCTCCCAGAAAGAACAGAAGCGTGTCTACCATCAATCATTATGATTCTCCAAACCCAGGTGATGCTGAGTTTTATAATTTAGTTCCCCTACTTCTTAAAGTAGCCATCAGCAAGCTGTGGCCCACTGGCTGCATCTAGCCTTCCACTCACATTTTGAGAACCAGAAGCTAAGGTAAAATTAGCTGTCTTATTTTTCAGTTTTAAGTGTTTATAAAGTCTTATTGAAACTCTGGTTCTTATTGCTTATACACTCTTTTATGGCTGATTTTTCACAGTTGGCTGGAGGTAATATGGCCTATAAAGCTAAAATATTTATTGTCAGGTCCCCAATGTCCCTCAACCATGCCTTAAATAGTATGCATACCTCATTAAATCTTGGTCCAAATGAAAAAATCACATCTCATCTCTCTTTTTAATCAAACTTTCCATATTTAAAAAAGTAGAAATTCTAAAAGAACTTGGTTGAGTTCAGAGATACTCAACTGACAAATGCTGTTTGTCTAAGATTTTCACATCAGTGAAGGAGTGGATGACTTTTTTGGAGTATCGTTTATATGGGTCCATGTAACAGGTGATTTAATACAATGTTAGTTGTTTGTCCAAGAGTGGAGATGCATCATGTACTACATAAATGTTGAACTCACTGCATCTGAACTTACCCAGTGTTGCAAGTTTAAAGTCTTGTTTGGGAGCTGGAAAGATGGCTCAGTTATGAATAGCATAAGCTGTTTTTGCCAAGAATGGGAATTCAGTCCCGAGTGGCCATTTCAGGTGTCACACAGCAGTCTATAACTTCTAGAGATCCAGGGAACTCTGATGCCCCTGGCTTCCACCTGAGCTACACCCACATGCATGTACGTTCTACCCCTGCCCCCACCGACACATAATTAAAAACAAAATAAATGAATAAATAGAATTGAAAGCCTTTATTTAAAAACATGTGGACAAACAACCCATTACTACAAGTCAAAGGTTTCACGTATACTGTGCTATGATTTTGACATTTTCTTCCTTTTCTTTTGACTCATTGGTTTTATCTTCATTATAGACTCTGGGCAACAGATTGATAGGCTCTAGCCTATGACGCAACTTGGCCTTTAGTTACTAATATCAATGGTACTTTGGACAGTCAGCAGTTCCCACGACTACCCAGTACGCATCTCATTTTGATGTCCAGTTTCTCCGAGTGAATTCCTTTGCCCTGCTGACAGTCGTATTTATATCATTTTGTGTATTGAGAAATGACTAGAACGCATTATAGTAGTCCAGCTGGATATGACAAATGTGTACATCACGGTGGCAGAATCTTAATTTGGAAGAAAGTATGCAGCCTCCAAGCCAGCTGGAGATGGAAGATGGCATTTCCAGCCACAGTAGCTGTTAGGAGGTCCAGAAGCAACAGAGTCCAGTCACACCACAAAGCTGTTTATGTTTGCTGGTATGATGTCCCCAGTGCCAGAGAATCAGCACTTCTCCTTGTTTACTCTAAATACTTCTGCCTATCAGCATCACTTTCATCTTGCCTGGGTTGAATCTCTGCCAGCTACATTTTATCCAAGTTCTTGATTCTGGCAAGCTCGGAGGCAGCTAGCAGTAATGCAAGGGATTTGACATCGAGAAGATGGGTAGTAAAAGGACTTTTGTGTACTGGCAGCAGTTAAGCTAAAATAACCTGAACTTTCTCCCACTTTCACGTTTCTAAGGAATCCCTGAGAGAAGGAAGAGCTATAGATTTGAGGCTAAGGAGCAGCAGTGAGTCTGTAGGTGTCTGTAATCATTCCTAGTGCATTATTTCACCTTATCAGCTCTAAAAGTAAACATGGATTTCAATGGGAAGTCAGTGTTACCTTTGGAGGAATCTCTTTTGATACAAAGGTCATTGATCATTTACCTTGGGATGGGACAATCACAAGAATTTAGAGGTTCCCTGATCCTAAGTTTACCCGGAAAAATGAACAACATAGTAATTTCTAGCCTCACATCAATACTAATTGAGAAATGTTAAAGTAAAAGCTTCATAACTGATCAGTTATTTTGATATGAAGATTGTATTGACTTTGATTATCACACATTTCGCTCTTTAATTTAGGGGTAAAATTTCAGGGATTTAGGTTAATTTCTTGCATAAAGACCTACTTTTTTTTTTTTCTTTCCTCGAGACAGGGTTTCTCTGTGTAGTTTTGGAGCCTGCCCTGGAACTAGCTCTTGTAGACCAGGCTGGTCTCAAACTCAAAGAGATTTGACTATTTCTTCCTCCGAGTGCTAGGATTAAAGGCGTGTGCCACCAACGCCCGGCTGAGGCCTACGTCTTAGTGTCTGTGAGTTAAGTTCATTTGAAAGAGAAACTGTCTTTCACCTTGTAAATATCTAGACACTATTCAGTGCTAGTATTTTCATCATTTGATTGGTGTTTGAGTTTATTTGCCAAAAAACAAACAACAAAAATAAGAAAGAAAAAAAAAGAAATAAAAAGAAAATTGAGTTGAAGACATATGATAAGCTAAATATGATATGATGCTGGGAAATAGATAGTTGGTGGGCATTAAATTTCCAAAAGTGAATTTTGGTAATTTCAAAAGACATCAGAAGTTAAGCTTAACTAATTGACCAGGGCTTCTAAAAATGATATTATTATTATTATTATTATTATTATTATTATTGTTTTCTTGTAGACCTTCTGAGTTAACCTCTACCAAAGACTGAAAAGCTGTCTTGTAGACATTTTCTATTTGATTAGTTATTGTAATGTTGGCTTCTTATGCACACTTCTGCCAGCACTAGCTGGCCCCCAGATGATTTGAAAATAAGTACCTCAAGAACATATTTGACTTACTGCTTTATCATTCTTTCAGAATGAATGATTTGAGTGACATCTTTGTTGTATACCATGCTAATGTGAGAAGACAAGAGAAACAGAGACACTGCTTATCTGATGCTTACATTGTAGTGTTAATCAGAGCTCAGTCTTCCTAGGTGAAGATTGTATGCTGCATTAGTGAGTCTAAAGTTAGACTCGTTAATAAATACAAGATTCATTTCACAAATAATCAAAATAGAATGATCCGTCCGAGTAATGGAATGCTCCTACATTGCCCGTTTCCCCCCAAGAAACTCAGTGATAACTTGGGGGAGTCCATCAACATAGGTCATAAAAGAGCTCTGATACAGAGGTGATCACAGTAATATCCATATGGACAGCTATGAAGAGAGACAGATGTGTGTTTTAGCCCTGGCTGACATCACTAAACACCTGTAGTCTTTAAAATCATATACCTTTCATTTACATGGAAAATTAAGATACAGTGATGCCCCAGATAGACAAAGTCTAGCTCTTCCAATATGAAGTTGAATGCCCAAGTAAGTTTTCCCTCAAGTATTGTATTATTAGGCAAACTAGGGAGGACAGGGCTTTTTGGAGCAAAAAAGTAAAAAGGTACAAATAAGACATTATTAGTGTGCATTTGACAATTCACTTGGTAAAACATGAACAAATTCTTTGTTTAGGACATGAATTTTGCTTCCTAATTTGCTGTTGTCTGAAAATTGAACTCCGCTGGCTTTAAAAGGTCATTATTACATTTAAATAGCTACCTAAAATACAAGAGGAAGAGAAAACTTTTATATTAAATAGTACAATTGTCTTGGAAATCCAGTACTCTGTGAAAATAACAGTGCTTTCTCTACTTATTTCTGCTGAAAAGTCTAGAATATTCTAGAAGTGAACTGTCCTATCCACAAATTCAACCATATTTCTCATTCCATAAATTAATTGATATGTTATGTACATATAAACATTTTTTAACTTTAAAGGAGAAATTCCAGTTGGGGAGGGTATCACTTTGTTTCTTGCTACAATTGTAAATACATATTAACATCCTGGGAGCTAAAGTTTTTGTGCTTATCTGATGGATAAATATCACTGCAGCATTTTAAGAGAATGGAGTAACTAAAACATGGGCACTTTCTAACAGTAAACATTGGTGTACTTTCTAACACTAAAAAAGGGAAGATATTAAAAATTGAGAACATTGATGAAGCCACCAAAAAAAAAACCCAGATAATAGTTGTAGTTTCACATTCAAACACTAAAAATCCTTAGTTAAAAGTACAGCATCATCGATCCTCAAATACCTGGGCAAAGAAAGTACAAAATCTCAGCAGGAAACATAAACTTGATAGATTAACAGTTGAAGGAAAATGGGTTAATAGAATATTCATAGGATTTTAATATGAATGCTGATTACAAAGCTTTAATCACTGTCCTTAGAAAATTCTGATTATTTGTATCATATATAGTTTAAAGTTGTTTAAAGGATGGAAGGTGGAATGCCGAGTTAAAATAAGAACCTGAGATCTGTCTTGTTTACATGTGTAGCAATTATACTTCAGATTACCAGAAAACAATAAAAATCTCACAAATTTCAGAACAGACAAAAGATTTTCCATCATGAGACTACCAGGAAAGTTAGTAAACACTAGGATTGAGCAAGACACTGCTTAGAAAATGCTATGGGGGAGATGGGTTGAAATGTATGAAGTTCAGATAGTAATTCTAACCACTTATTGGCAGAAAGTGAACTTAGAATTGGAGAGAATTTTTAGCTGGAATTACAGCTCAGGAAGCCAGCATTTATCCTGGAAACTCTGTCTGCTACTTACTGACTTTGGGATCTTATCGAGTGCTAAATGTCTCTGTATCTTGGTTTCACACAGGATTTCTGTAGTTGTCACTCCCATGCCATTTGGATTATTAGATTTGTACCAATCAACACAGCATTAGCTAATAAAACTGGAGCCTCTGAGATGGCTTCAAATATAAAGGCGCCTGTTACAAAGCTAAGCACCTGTGTTGAATCCTCCCAGGAACCCACATGGTAGAAAGAGAAAACCCACTCCAGTAAGTTGTCCTCTAACTTTCACACGCACATTGTATTCTCCACAGCACACTCCATAAATAAATAATAATAAATGAAAAGTTAATTACAAATTCTAAAGATGAAACTATCTCTAGAGTGAGATTCAGGTGAGCACTGTAAGTACTTTGTCTACCAATAAACTCTTTTTAAAAGTAAATACTTTCCCACCATCCCTGGGGAAAGCTAGTACTAAATTTGTTCCAGGCACTGATGCAAAAATTCCACCAGGTCCTCATATAATAATGCTGTGGGATACCATGGCAGGACTAGAAAGCCCAATCTGTTTTGTAGGAAAGAGCAGCTTCAATCCCGATGCTTAGTAGAGGTAGGGAAATTTGAGAATACCTAAGACTATTTCTCATCTGGTATACTGATTGAATTATATAAGATCGCACACACCCCCATCCCCACAGACACATGTTTGGGTTTCCGTCAAGTCGGATCTCTCCAGATAGTGCCTGTACACCATTGTGTTTTAATATCTCCACAGGTGGTTTCAGAGCATAACCAGCATGGCAGAAGTACACAATGTCGGGGGTGGGGGGGGGTAGGAAGTGAGTCTCAGCAAGAGGAGGTAGCACATTTGATGTCAGAGATAGCAAAGGTTCACTAAATGTCTCTCAAGCATGGCCCGTGTTTACCGTTTTCTCCAAATGTTTCTTACTCTGTTCAGACCTGGAAAGATGTGCTTTGATAATGACTTCACAGATGATCTGTATTTTTAAATGATATGCTAGACTACTGTAAAGAGAAAGCAAATGTTGAGTATATATTGTAAAGGATACACACACACATATACACACACATACACAGACAGAGAGAGTGAGAAGTAAATTCTTCCTCATGTCTCAAAAGGAATATTGAATGTGAAAGAATTTGGAGAAATGTTATCATTGCAATAATAAATATTGCAAATATTGAATAGGCAAGAAGATGAATCTGCCATCACTAACTGCTTAGTTCCAAAGTGGTAACAGTCAAGGAAGAGGACATGAAATGTTTGGTTCCCCATTTATAAACTTGATGGGTTGAAAGAAAATAGCAAGCCCAAAATATATAGAAAAGTCTTACATTCTGGTGGGCAGAGACAGGCAGACCTGGTGGTTCACTGAAAAGTCAGTCTAGCCAAAATAGCAAGTTCCTAGTTCAGTTAGTCCCTCACATAAAGAGAGGACGTAAATAAGGAAGACAGCAAAGGTCAGTTTCTGGCCTTCACACATGCACGCACAGAGGAGTACACAGGTGTACACTTGTGTCCATACCATATACACATAGACACACAGAGAGATACACATACACACACACAGGCACACACATAGACATACAGTAGACACACAGAGACATACACATGCAGACACACACACACCCATACACACACACACACACACACATACACAGACATGCACATAGACACCCTCGAGCCATAACATGAATACAGATTGAAGATACTTTCTCTTGGCTTTGGTCACAGGATCTCTAGCAAAAGCATTTATTTGTTTCTCAATTATTTAGTATTTTCAATTTATTAAAATTCTTGTTTTGGAGTTTCATTTGTGGTGGGAACTGCAGAGGAAATGTGTGGTGATATGTGAGTAAAAGTCAGAGGAAGGTTTGTAAGAACTGCTTTTCCCCTTCCACCATGTGGCGTCTGGGAGTGAAATCAATCATGAAACTTAGTAGCAAGTGCCTCTAACCACTGAGCAACCTCTTCAGCCTAATTAGAACAATACTGCGTGTTTAGAAGAGGATTTGACTCAATGATTTTTTTTTCCCTGAAACCCTGGAACAGTTGCATGGAACACTGTCTTTGTTTATACGTTCGCCTAACCCCTTGATTTTCCTTTGGAGGATCTTCCCTTTTCATATGTTCACACCGTGTTTCCTCTTCCTTCTTTTCTGTTGAAACGCTAGATTTCTGCTGCGGGAAATGCTGGGAATGAGTCAGGCGTAAGAGAGCTGTTGAGAAGGATTGTGCACAAAGAAAACTGGTTTTCTACCTTCCTGGATGTTCTTCGCCAAACCGGAAATGATGTGCTCTACCAGGAGCTAACAGGTGCTGGCTGCCCGGAAGACATTGCAGGTATTCCTAATTCTATCAGTGAGGTTTTGATACGGTGCGATTGTGAAGTCAATGAATCTGCAACTGTAATGTCAGGCACCAGGACTTCTAGAGTCAACATCTTTAAATGGGAAGAATTGATTTTGTCTCCTTTACACATGAGAAAGCCCATGTGTGGGGAAGACTCTGTTAGGAAACACCCCCACTAGCACACTGGAATGGCCACCAGTTCAGCCACAGTTCATCATTCATATCCTGTGTTTGAAATGAGATAATCACCTCAAATTTTTATCAAGATATTTTTACATTAGAAAGACACAGATAAACTGGAAGAAACTATATTTTTTGGTTTATTAATATAAAAGGTTTATTCTTACCAATACACCTAATTTTCACCCAATATGAATTTTAAATATTCAATAATAATATTCTAAAATAATAATATATTTTACATACTTCCTTTGTAAACTGAATTTAATCTGTCCCATTGATTTTTTTCCTTTCAAAAATATATACCCTGTTTTCAAAAAATCTTATGCAGAATAAAGCACAAGTCCATTATTGATACATAATTATCTTTTTATTTTTTTTGTTTTGTTTTGTTTTGTTTTGTTTTTGAGACAGGGTTTCTTTGTGGCTTTGGAGGCTGTCCTGGAACTAGCTTTTGTAGACCAGGCTGGTCTCGAACTCACAGAGATCCATCTGCCTCTGCCTCCCAAGTGCTGGGATTAAAGGCGTGCGCCACCAACGCCCAGCTGATACATAATTATCAACATTATAATTTTTTCCTTCTGTTATTCAGCAATCATACAGTGAACTATTCTAGGTGATGAGGATATGGAGTTGCAGGAGACCTGGGAAAGTCCTCCTTCTCTGTTCATTCTAGTAAAATGATTCACTCAGTAAATGACTTTCTGAATGGGCTCTGCAAATAGAACCAATAATAGGTGAAATTGAAGAACTGTGATTAGTTCACTTATATTGCTAGATTGTAAGAGAAGCATTTGCTGTCTTTTACTGTATAGCTTATGACAATCTTTTACTTTTGCCCAGTAGTTTGAAGTTCTGAAACATAAATATATTTCCCTCTATTTGTCAGAAGAAGTTAAAATAGCTTTCAAAATTAGACAGTAACTCCATGGTTTCTCAACCAGGAAGTTCTAATGTTTCTACTAATATTACAGGTGTGGGTGTACCTGTATCTATATCCATCTGTAACCATCTATAGCGATTAATCTCCATCATCTCCATCGCCTATTATTATATCCAGGGAGACAGAAGCAGGTACAGTAGAAGAGCTCAGATGTAGAAAATCAGATCTTTTTTTACTGTGAACTATAAGAAAACACTAAAGGATTATAAAATGATATGAATGAGCTACATGGAATCCAGTAGGACAAGGCTAGCATCATCTAGATGGCTGGACAAGGTACTTTTCTATCTCCCACCCCTTCGAGATAACTACTGCACAGTGTCACATATTTGAGCTAAACCTAGGTGAGGCTGTAATGGCTTGAAGCTGTTTGTTTTCTTTGGAATTTTCTAAGAATTTGAGGGAATTAGTGAAAGAAGAGTCCAGCTAGGCTCAAAAATCAGGTAGGGCTGCCTGCTGCTGTCTCAAGCCTAGCTCAGGAACCCCAGCCTGAGAACCCATTTTGTTGACAAAGTGTAGTTCTCACCACACACACGAAAAAAGCTTCTCTGCATCAGAGAGGGTTACAGGTAGCAACTGGTCTTCTAACATCAGCTGACTGTGGGGAGCCCAGTCCCAGGGGATACATCCGAAACACAACCCTTGCCCCCAAGACTCAGGGAACATCACTGAAGAGGGAACATGAGGATTGTAAGACATAGAGGACCAGGAAGTCTGCTGTGACACTGTGTCTCTTAGAAATGACCAGGAAGCTACACCCTTGATACCTCAATAATATGACCTGGGCCATGAGAATACCAATAGTCATAGTAAAGCAGAAGTGGGAGCTCTCATGGGGTCTCTTCCCTAGACACACACACACACACACACACACAAAATTATGAGCAACTAATGTTTTCTGAGCAGAGGGAGAATTTGTGTCTCCCAGCATTGTACCCCTAATTTATTATCCAATACAAAGTAGTCAGCTCTGAAATCACCCAAACTCAATCAAAACCAAAGGGACTCAGCAAGTTGTAGTTTATATTTATGCATGTGCTCATGTGTGTGTGTTTGTGTGTGTGTATGTGTGGTGTGTGTGTGTTTAAGCGTAACAATAAAGATCAAAGAAAAGGAAGCCATCAGTCTGAGAAGTGGGGGAAGACATGGGAGGGGTTGGAAGCAGGAAGGGATAGAGGGAGGAAAGGGGAGAAGTAATCTAATTATATTATATTTTAATTAAAACTTTTAAAAATTGAAAAGTACTCTCCCTCCTCCCCCCCCTCTTGTGTGTGTGTGTGTGTGTGTGTGTGTGTGTGTATACCAGGCTAGCTATCCTGAGAGCTTTCGGGCATTCTCCTGCTTCCACCTTCCAGCTCAGGAGGAGCTCTGACTTTATAACAGATGGGCCCTATCACTCCCTGCTTCCCACAGGCTCAGGCTCCTGGGAGTCTACCTCAGGTCCTCGAAAGCTCTATTTCCACGGAACTGTCTCCATAGCACCTTTCTAAGGGAGATTTCTTGAATTTTGGTTTGCTCTTCTTCTTCTTGTTCTTCTTCTTCGTTTTTCCTGGTTTTTGAAAACGGTTTCTCTGAGAAACAATTCTGGCTACTTTGTGGACCAGGCTGGGCTCATACTCACAGATCTGTTGGGATTAAAGGTGTGCATGACCACCGCCTGGTTTAAGGTAGATTTCTAAGAACAGGAATGGTTTTGTTTCTCCTGCTCAGTTATGGTAAAAAGTGAAAGAAAATGAAGAAGCGTTAATCTAAAAGAGGCCAAAACACAAAAGATTTGGAGAAGTTTTAGCTTACTGATATTGAGAGAGAGAGACACACACACACACAGAGATGTTCTGAGAACACAAAGGTGTGGCTGAACCAACATCTGCAGAGTAAACCGTAGGTGTGGTTCTTGGGTGGGATCAGTCAAGGCAGCTAGAGATTAGATCATACTTTTCAACTAAGAGGAAACAGGAAAAGCAAGGTGGGGGAAGGGTGCTCCCTGGACTTCCAGAAACAGGCTCGAAAGCAATTCTTCAAGCAAAAGAAGGAATGATGCCAAAGAATGCATAGACCCAGCCTCAGGGTTATTCCTCCTTTGTGTCAGCTGGTGGTGGCCCTGTAGTTTTAATGAGGTGCCTCAGAGGCAGGTGGGGCACCTCCCAATAATCCACAATGCTATCAGAGAGAACAACAGAGGCTGCCCTTCCAGGCTCTGGAGTGATTCCACCAAAGGGGCAGAGAAGGTGGAATGTCAGATCAAGAGGAGATATCCGTGCCCTTTAAGAGTTTAAGGATGTTCTGCCGGGCGTTGGTGGCGCACGCCTTTAATCCCAGCACTTGGGAGGCAGAGGCAGGCGGATCTCTGTGAGTTCAAGACCAGCCTGGTCTACAGCGTGAGTTCCAGGACAGCCTCCAAAGCCACAGAGAAACCCTGTCTCGAAAAACCAAAAAAAAGAAAAAAAAATAATAAAAGAGTTTAAGGATGTTTTATTGCTAGGTTTAGGTTTTGTTTAAAAGATATCATCTCTACGTTCATTCCGTTTCTCCCTTTTGGAAAAGAATGTTGCTCTGTGTTAGTTTCAGGCCTATATTCTGGGGTCAAAACTGTCTGCCTTAGTCCCCAAATGGAGGGGAATTTACCTGAGGTAAATGGAACTGTAAAAATGAAGTATCTTCTCTTTAAACCACCCAGGCTAAGGTACGTTTCCATTGCAGAGGGCCCCAGACTTGAAATCTATGCTCCTGGCTCTTTTCCTGGACCTATTGTTACCTTTGGTCAGTTATCAGACATCCTAGAATATCACCTTGTCTGTGAAAGGGATAAAAATATCACTTGCCAGCCAGGTTATTTTGAGAAGTAAGTTATTCAATATATAAAAATGGTTTTGTGGCTAAGTATAAAGCAGATAGACTATTTTAATCTTTTACTGTTTAATTAGTTTCGTATGTATGAGTGGAAGTCTGTGCACCACTTGCATGCCTGGTGCCCCAGGTGGCCTGAAGAAAGCAGCAGATCCCTGGAGTTACAGACAGTTGTGAGCCGCCATGTGGGTGCTGGGAATCAAGCCCATGTCCTCTGGAAGAGCAGCCAGTGCTCCATATCTCTGAGCCATCTCTCCAGCTCCTGACTATGTAATCTTAAACCTTAGTAACTGTTAAATAAAGAACAAGGAGAGGTCCCCCACTGTTGTTGGCAACTCTAAGGAACTGACACATAATCGCCGTTCAGGAATGAGGTTTATTAGTAGAAAGGGCCTCAAGACCATGACCTAGCCTTGAGGTAGGAGATCATTAGAAGACAACAGTGCAATGTATGGGAAACAGCTCCAACAGACTTTAAATGGAAGAGGAGGCTTCCCTTTCAACCACAGAGGGGCTTCATTCAGAAGAGTTGCTTGAAGTAGGAGCAAAGAGAGAACCTTCTAGAAGAGGATAATGAGCCTGGGAGATGCTCAGGGCAGAGTGCCTTCAGGAAATCCCCTGGCTTCTATAACCACGAAGTTCTGCACCATGTGATTTAGTCTGTGACGGGCTATGGCAAGAAGAACCAACAGCCAGGTATTGTGTAGTGAAGGACCAGGAGTTAGGTGTTGGTAGAGTAGCCTGGTTTCTTCAGGCTGTGGGCTCAGATGTCTTGGAGTGACCAGTGAGTTAATGGGGCAGGACAGTCATGCAATAACTAGTAGCTAGGAATAAACATTGTCAATTTGTCTTCATCTGAATCCACAGATAAAATTTTGTTCAGGAAACTCTCCATGTAAGGCTAGATGGGTTTCTCCCATGCTGTCTAGAGTAGGTCAGTCTGAAAAGACACTTGAAGAATTGTATTTAGGACTTCAGACTCTTCTGACAGACTGAAGTTTCACAAGGAACAGAAACCCTTGGTTTTCTTACCTTCCCTCTCCCATATGTTCAGCCTTTTAGCATTGTAACACAGCAGTGATGTCTATAAAACACATACTGAGGAGCCCAAACTGGAGTTACAAAGAAAAAATAAATCGCCAAAAAAAATCTTATAACGTATTAAGTAGGTTTATGAGTTTGTGTTGGATTGCAGTCATAAGCTCCCTCTTGCAGCTGGGTGTACACGTGGCCCACAGGCTGTAGGTTGGATGCCCCTGTGTGCTATGCTAGAGGCCAAGGAGTAGGAGAGGCAAAATGGAAAAGTGGAGAAAATAGACTATTTCATTCAATTAAAAAAAATCCCCAGGAATCCAAAACACATGGATTCAGCCTGACATTAAAGCAGATGTACATCTCATGAACATGGAGGCAGAAGCAAAATGGCAAGTAAAAGCTAAAGAAAGCCACCCCATTTGCATTTCTATTAATTCAGCCTTAAATATAGCTTGGAGTCATCTAGTCAGTGATTGACTTCCCAAAGACGATGGTCAGACAGGAAGTCATCTCACTTACCTTGTGATTTGATTAGTATTTAATTAGCTTGCCTTTTCATATAAAATTTGTTACACAAAGACTCAACTGGAGTCATGATAAAATCAAAAAGTATGTTTCATTGTGTTACACTGAAGTAACATGTCTTTTTTGAAGTGTCAATGTTTGAAAGTGTATACAGTGTATGGGAAACAGACCCCTGCTTTATTTTTAGAACACCAATGTCATCTGTATACACTGTGTGGAAACCTGTGTAGCCCTACCATTGACATTTAATGGTTACTATTCACAGAGTTGGAGAATTCATCTCAGGAAGATGGACCTGAAGCTCATGAGTCTATTCTGTGTGCTCTAGATGAGTCAAGTCTGGAGACAGAGGCTGGGGACACAGAGAATTCTTCACCGGAGACCTCCTTTGCAGACTGCTCTGTGACCACAGGTACTTGACATGTGAAGGTTCCCTGTATATAATAACTATTCCCTCCAGAAGAATCAGCAGGTACAGTTATGGGGAATTTGGACACTGATATCAGTGAGAGTTTTTATTAAAAAGTCTCTCAGGCTGTATTTATATATTAACTCGTGTGTGTGTATGTGTGTGTGTGTGTGTGTGTGTAAAAATAGATAAAGAATAAGAAGTCATGAATTTCAGAGAGGGGGGTCAATTGGAGGGAAGAGGAGGGAGGAAATAATATATTTTAACTTCATAAAAAAAGAAGAGTACAGTGGAATCCAGGCAGATGAACAATAATCGATGATTTTTAAGTGTTTACTACCCTTTGAAATTCGTGAAATTGTGCATTTACCCCATTTGACTTTAAAAAACAGGTGTGTCTAGCAAAATTCCTAAAAGTGTTCCAGTTTGCCTTTACACCCTAGTCTAAACTAGCTTGAGCTGGCTCCCCTGGTGCACTAGCTCTATTTAAAGATGCAACCGGAGCAGGGTTGCAGAAAATTTGGAATGCGTAGGAACACACTGTGAAGCCACCCATGTTCCCCCAGTACCCAGGATGGGGAGCATGTGGGATGCCTCTTGCCAGTCTTCCTCATACCTGTTTGCAGAACTGTCATGTCTCCTGTGTCCACTTTAGGTGTTTCTCAGGGCTTTTACGGACTGAACAATAGTAACACCACGTGGGCACAATTAAACAAGTGTTGACACCCAGTGTGTCTCCAAATTACTACATCATGAGCAACGCCTTTAGAGCCCTCTGTACTTACGTCATTCTTGACTCATTAGAAGTGTGTATAATTGGGGTTTCTGGCTCAAATGGTTTATACAGTTTTAACACATGTGATACTTAGTGTCAACCCTCACTGTGGGAATTTATACTGATTTACGTGTCCTTCCCACCTGACTTTGGTGTGCACTTATCTGGCAAGCGCCTGATCCCCCCAAGTCTTTTCTGTAGGAGTGGGTGGCATCATTTCCAGGCCCTGCCAATTCAGCTACAATAAAATTTGATATTTTGGTATTTAAATATGGATTTGAATTTTTCTGATTTGTGCTATTATTTATTTATTTGCAAATCCCTCCTCTTTGAGCGCATATCACCTTCTATATTGAGGCATTTGTAATTTTCTCCTGGTTCATATGAACTATTCAAATATATAAGATATCAGTCCCATCAATAATACCATTTTTTTATGGCTTGTGTGCTTTTTTTAAACCTTGCTTTTAGTATTTGCTTTTTAAACTTATAATTATTAATACAAATTAATGGGATTCGTTGTGAAATTTCTATGTCTGTGCACACTGTGTATTCCTCTCCCTTCCCCATCCCTAGACATTCCTTTTCAGGGTGCTTGTTTTCTTATTCAATTTTCATGTATGCAAAAGAACTTGCATACTCATCTTTCTGTGCCATTACAATAATGGGTCTTGGGTTTTTTGTGATGCGATACTTCTGAGGTTTTCACTGTCAAGTGAACCACTAGTGGAGGTTTTAAGGCATAGACTAGTAGAGTGTTTAGACTTGAATACTACAGACTTTGCCTTCTCCATTAAGTGAGGGCCTGTGCCCTCCTTCAGAAGCCCTGATTCTACAGGAAAGCCAAACCCTGCTGACTTTGCTCCAGAGCTTTGCTTTAGACACCGAAGCTGATAAATGGCTTGAGGTAGTCCTGGTTTCCACACATTTTCTTGTTCTTATGAACCAATAGACAAACAAATGAAAACAACTTGCAAAGCGCCATTAGCCCAGGAAGTGACTGTTTTGTTGTTTGATTTTTATTTTGTGTTGCCAATGATTGGATTTCCAGCCTCTCTTATGCTGGGCACTTATCTCTGTATCCCACCCATGGAGTTATTTTGGCCATAGTATTTATTTGCTGCTAAATTTAATACAGGATTTTACCTATCTAGTCATTCTTAGAACTAAAAATTGAAATATTTTCAAAAGTATGCCACAGTTTTTGATACATACTTGCATAAATGGTATGTGCAGCTTACGGATAAAGATGCTGTGTGTTTATTTTGTGTTCTAACATGATGGGTTAATATTTTCAGTAGTTGCTAAAGTAACATTGAAAAAATGTGTTTCTTAAGTTACACATTTTCTGTAAACATAGATTTTTTAATGTACAGATATAAAAGATAAAAGAAGTTCGTAATTTTAAATCAGAATTATTTCATATTGTTTTTCTAAAAACAGTTTTCTTTTTTTAGTTGATAGTAGTTTGTTGCATTTGAGTCTATTAACTGAGTAGCTTTTTTTCCTTTTTTTAATTTAAATAAGAAACAAGCTTGTTTCACATGTCAATCCCAGTTTCCTCTCCCTCCCCTCCTCCCCTGCCCCACGTGAACCCTCTATCCCATCTCCTTTCTGCTTCCCAGGGAAGGTGAGGCCTTCCATGGGGGATCTTCAAAGTCTGTCATATTATTTGGAGCAGGGCCTAGGCCCTCCCCCATGTGTCTAGGCTGAAAGAGTATCCTTCTATGTGGAGTGGGCTCCCAAAGTCAATTCGTGATCTAGGGATAAATACTGATCCACTACCAGAGGTCCCATAGATTGTCCAGACCTCCAAACTGACATCCACGTTTAGGGGATCTGGAACAGTCCTATGTTGGTTTCCCAGCTATCAGTCTGGTGTCCACGAGTTCCCCCTTGTTCAGGTCAGCTGTCTCTGTGGGTTTCTCTAGCCTGGTCTTGACCCCTTTGCTCATTACTCCTCCATCTTTGTCACTGGGTTCCAGGAGTTCAGCTTAGTGTTTAGCTGAGGGTGTCTGCTTCTGCTTCCATCAGTTACTGGATGAAGGCTCTAGGATGGCATATAAGGTAGTCATCAATAACTGAGTAGCTTTTACATGAAGATTCTTCAGGAGTTGCTTTTACTCCTCAGCAATCAGCAATCAGCACAGTGTCTCACACTAAACCAATTCTAATGGTATTCATATTTCCTCCAAAGGGTCAAAGACTAGAATTCTGTAGTGGAAAGTTCTAGAAAGTGGTTTCAACCTCTCAACACATTTGGGGGTTGGTGTTTCTAGTGTTCTGCTCATTGACTATTCAGAATAGCCTGCTTCCAGTTTAAAATGGAGAGCACTGAATGGAATCACATGCACACATACACACACGCACACACACACACACACACTCACACATGCTTACTCGCACATATGCACACATACACACATATGCGTGTGCACACACACTTGCACACACAAACTTACTCGCACGTACACATACTCACTCACATATATACACACACACGTGCGCACACTCATACGTCACATAAAGTAAGGGAGAAGACACATGGGGGACACGGAGATTTAGTGGAAGCAGAAGGAAAAAATGTTGAGTAATATTGTGTACATGTATGAAATTCTCACAAGTAAGGAAACATGTTTAAGAGGGAGCGTCTCCCCCTCCTTGCAGTTATTAATTAAAATACACAGGCCCCATCTTTCCTAAATAGACACAATAGCTTCTGACAGCAGTGGTACTGCATTTCAGAACTGTCAGTGCGTTTGTAATGATGACAATGGCACCTTTGCTTTCTGAAGTCACCAGTCATCTTAGAGCAAGAAACTATCACAGAACGTTGATGTTTCCTTAGGCCGCACTTATCTGGGAGATTCCAAAGGGACTTAACCCACCCCATGGATTATTTTAATTCTGTACACTTACAGAAAACTTAAGGAATCACTTCCAAATATCTGTTATTGCTTTGTCAAAACAAGTGAGTAGTTACTTTTTACATAGATTTTTTTAATTATCGTATTTTAGGAAGTAAAGTACTATGGTAAAATGAAAGTATAAATGAGATTGCAAAGTAAGAAAGTGCTATTGAGTTTGGAAGAAACGCTTTTACGTAGCACGGAACAAGTCTGAAGCTTCTCTTAGGGATCCATTACAAAGCCTTGTTTGGGCTCAAGAAATGCAAGTACCCCAGGATGGTCAGCAGAGGGCGCTTTGACATTTATAAAGAGACAGGATTTCTCTGCTCATGTGTGGAAAATTATAATGTAACTAGCGTGCCATGTGTGAACACACAGTGCGCATGACCCAGAACGCATGTGTATATTTTGATTTATATATTCGTTCACGTGAAGATTTTAAAATTCCACCCCAGCTAATGAGCTCACCAACCTGCTTGTTTTCAGACTGTAATACCTTCTTTTTCATTCCCCCATATGTTCAACTCCTTAGGTTTATCCGGTGACATTATGCTTTGGAATATATTGTGGATATATTTTGCATAGATCATGTTCTGTAGGAGGGGTTTAAAAGTTGACCTTTATAAAACAGCGTCTTTCTCCCTGGTCCAATCTGTCACAGCACTTTGTTGTTGTTTTGTTTTGTTTTTCCTTTTTATAGACGGAAGTCCAATCTTAGGTTTGATCTATACTTATTTCTGTGAAAGTGTCACAAAATTTATCCTTGCACTTAAGGATCCAAATGACGTTCCGTATCACTATCCCGTAGAAAATCTAGTGATTTTTAGGATCTCTAGAAACAAATGCCACAGCATTTGAAGCTAAAGGGAGATGGTTACTGTAGCCGAACATTACTGCTTCAGAATTGGCTCAAGTGAGCCATCCTTTATATTTTCCTAAATTTACTTATCATTGACTGCTAAGAACTTACAGTACTGCTGGGGTCCTTTAAGGGTAGATAGTAATTTGAGGAAAAATGAACATGTTGATTTTGGTGCTTACAAGGGATCTTACGTTCTTTACAAACACAGCGTGCTGTGTGACTCACAACTGTACCGCCATCCTAAAAGGGCTGTCAGCCCGTCCCTCGCATTTCAAGGACAAGGCCACGGGTGTTTTATCAGAAGGAAAAGTGGGTAGTGCGTTTCTAGTGTGTAGCTAACACGGCCTGGGTTTCTTCTCACACCAGTTTATAACTACAGACTCATCATTTTAGCAGAGTAGTAGCAAAGGGATGATGTCACATTTTAATCTGATTATTAGACCTTGCCGTCTTTATT